TAGTTTTCTAAAAAGTGAAATACTTTTATTTCATGATGGTTTCCAACACACACTCAAACTCCCTTTTTTCTTTCTTGTGTCTTGTTTTGTTTTGTTCAAGGACGGCTTCACTTTAGAGGCTTCCAAAATGAATTTTTTCCTAATTAGTCCTTCCTATAAATATCTGTGTTTTTGTAATATAGTTTTCTCATTACTACTAAACTTAAATGTGATTAAACATTACCCAGCCACAAAACACTCAAATTGCATTTCCCTTGACTTATTTATAGCCTGGATCTACACAGGAATTCTGGAACCAAATCAGGTCCTCAGCCTAAAAAGAAATAGAGTCCATGTCAAAATAATAATTCTAAGGGAGTGACTTGCAGTGGAAAAAAAAACTAACTTTTTGAAGGAGTCTATCTAGAGTGTGTAGATTACTTGAATGACATAATTATATTTATACTTGAGCTCAGGTAGGGCAGGTGGTCTAATGAAAGGTTAGATGATTGCTCACTCTATTAAACATTTCAAATGAATTGTTTTTCTTGCATATGAAAAACGAGGCTGCTGGCTTAACATCAGGGACCTGCACCGAATTGCTTTCCCTCACAAGGTGATAAATTCACACCTACTCAGGCCTTTCATTTCACCTGTCCCTTGTAATGTATGGTGAGGCAGGTGTCCAAATTCATGTATATAAATAGTATGCTGTCACGGAACAGAATTTTGCATTAATCTGTTAAAATTCAGGGAGGGTGGGGGCCTAGTGTGGGTCAGGGACGGCTCAGTCAGACCAATGACCTTAGAGGGCCAACACCAACTTCTACCTTAATGTATGTGTCAGGACACACCAACGATTGCATAACCACTTTTTACAACTTGCCTGTCCTTTTTTTATCCATCCAAGATTTCAACTGTCTACATTTATACACATACGTAAATGTGAAAACATGCCCCAGTCATCTCCCTCCTCCACTTTTATCTCCCTCTTTCTCTCCCTGCTCAGTAAAGATTGACATACAACAGGTAGGCACTGTGACCGGGGCCAGATGTTCTAAATACCTGCAGAGAGAAGTGCTGGCTTAGGCAAAAGGCCACAGCAGGAGAGGGGGCTCATTACTAGTAAGACTAAACAAGTGTAAAGCAAGCCTTAAATGGGTCAGGTTTTGGACAACACCTGTAAAAACTTTAGAAGTCACTTTCACAAATTGGGGGCAGATGTAGAGAAGAAAAGGTATTTTATGGAAGTTCCATTCCTGACCCACTTTAGACCCTCACTAATGTTAATTACTAACCGGAACATTGAATAGTGGCAGCATTTAGGTTAAAAAGTGCATGAAATTTCAGCCACAAGAAAATAACGGTGTTAGTGACATTAACGAATATGAAGAGTGAGAACGGGGGTGTTTCAATCATTATGGAAGCAGTGGGCACTGACATCAAATCAGTTTAAGTACACTTGCTACTTTTTAGCTTTGTGACTTTGTGAAGGTTACTTAATCTCTCCAAACATTACTTTCCACATTTGTTAAATAGGGATAATACTTTAACATATTTTTGTGAGGAACTAACATGACATATATATATGTCAAATTAGTGTCATATGTATCATTTATACACAATAAACAGCATAATAAACATTTGACAAATGGCAGCAACATATTAATATAAAACAGTGGAAGTCCAAACATAGGTAGATATTTATAAGGGACTTCATACATTTCTAACTGCTGTGTCCCTCATTGTTTAGGCCAAAGAGAGCCACATCCTAATTCCCAGAACCTGGGATTATGTTCCTTACACGGTAAAAGAGATTTGTAAATGTGATTAAAGATTCTGAGATGAGATTAGCTTGGGTTATCCAGGTGAGCCCAATGTAATCGCAGGGATCCTTATGAGAAGGTAGGAGGGCCTAGTGTGAGAAGGAGCTATGAAGATGGAAGCAGAGGTCAGACTGATGCAGGGTCCACAAGCCAAGGGATGTAGAGTGGCCTCTACAACCTGAAAACAGATCCTCGTCTTGAATTTCCAGAAGGAATGCAATCCTGCTGACCCACTTTAGGCTTCTGGCCTTCAGAACTGTAAGATTATGTGTTGTGTTAAGTCACTAAGTTTTCAGTAGTTTTTTACAGCAGCAATAGGAAATCAATACACTTATAAAGGTATGAATCTACCTTTTTTTAAGTTGTCTGCCCTGGGTGTTTAGAAAGAAAGTAGGGAGGGATATAAAGTGGAAAAAAATGTTTGGTTCAGAGTTTTAAACATAAATGAAAATTTTCACTTTAAGGAAAAGTATACAGACATGAAATTTTAGAACTGAAAACAGATCATAACAAAACTTTATGGAGGCATGGAGCAGTATTCCAAGAGAGATGAGAATTGGAAAAGGGGAGATACATTTTATTCAACAAACGGATACTGAAGACTATGCACCATTTCAAAGTCTCTTCAGATCCTCTGTGATAGTTCTTAGCTCTCAAGTTAGCCTAGACAATTTCTAAGACCTCTTTCATCTCTAATGTCCTAGGTTAAACCACCAATGATAAAACACAAATAATGTATTCATCAATGATCCTCAAGAAGCTTCAATTCCTAGTCTTCCCAGGTAGGAATTGCCTGCGATCCATATTGCTTCCACTAGATGGCAAAGTTAGCCTGGTGATAGCAAATCTAAGCTCCTGCATTTAAATTGTTTACATTTCTGAGCTGTGATATAGAATTTATTTTAAAAGCATGTGGAATTCAGCAGGAGGAGAAGTCTAACTGGCTAATATACAAAATGGTTGTCACATATGGAATGTATCACATTTAGAAAACCCATCTACAGGCCACAGAGCCCATCCTGATGAACTGAGAGCTGATAACGCTGTCTTCAGCCAGACAATTTTCTGGCAGGTGGTTTTCCGAAAATCATTGCAGTGCCAGCACACTTCCACGATGACCTACAGCACTGCTAAATAGTCCCCCAAATGTGCTGCAGTTCATTTCAACATGAAGGAAAATCTTCAACCTGCCAACTATTTCACATATGTTTATCAAATACTTTATAATCCATTCCTAAGGGATATGCTCTCCGCTGATCCTATGCTGAAAATAAATGGCAAGAAAGTTCATTGACAACGTGCCAATTTCTATTCAAAATATCATGCTATAGCACGATTTTCCAGTTTAGTTTCAGGAATGGAGACAAAGTAATGTCTGCTTTAAGAGTTTGGCAGTACCTAAGGGAAAGGAAGATGGTAAAGTTACACAGTTGATTGTTTTACAGTAACCCACATCTTCTGTTTCTCATCACAATAAAAAAATACCCTCCCTTTGTTTTTCAGCTATTTTTCCAGGACATGTACATTTCAATTTATGCAATGGATATGCTCTGTGTAAATCAAATTTGGGGTGAATGGCAGTAAGGGAGCCCCAAGGGAACCCTATGCTGGCTCTCTCATGCACTGACATAGGAAGTGCACAGCATATGGCTCCAAACTGATTTTTATATCTTGCAAGTTGATCTTTGAAAGCAAAGAATGTCTGTAAATGTATTAGGTTTGCTACTTTTCAGGCTTTAAAGGAGCTTCTAATCATGCATCAGTTTAACACGTTTGAAACTTTTGAAGACAACTGTAGTTAGGCAAAGTTATAAAATAACTTTTGCACCACTAGTTTGACTTTGCTGTTTCCTAATCTCTCATCTCAGATTTCTCATCTGCAGTTAACTCAGTGCTAGGTGAGGGAGCTTCAGCCTCCAAAATTCTGAGTCTGATCCTGCTGTTAAAATGCAATATGCTTGCCTTGAGCATTGGGCAAAGAAAGATAAATAATTTACTCAATAGGGAAAAATAACTCACATTAGCAATTGTTTATTTTAACATATAATGAGCACATACTATGTGCCAAGCACATAGGCTAAACAGTCTCATATTTAAAAACATGAAAAAGATTCTTTTAAGCCTACAGGTTTCTGAGCAGTCTGGAATAAAATTCTGGAGAGTTCAATCCCTTTCACACTAAAGAAACTCCTCTAATATTTCCTTAAAAAAATAAAATTCCAAATGATGCTTGGCCACTACTTTCAAGCCTAGATGTCTTATTTGGCTGGGATTTTAACATTCTTCCTACAAATTATAAAACAGATTCTAAGTATAATTCTCCAAGCAGCAAAATATGACTTTTATAATCCTCTCTGGAGACAAATGTACATGAGATAAAATGAGAATTTCAGAAGTTAGTAGGATTAATAAAAGAGGCGGTGGGGGGCACACCTAGATAGGACATGCAGTTTTATTTCAAATCAACGACAGTGTGAAAAGTTCAGAGGATTCTGGCAAGAATATTTTTACAACTTTCAAAATTTTTTATTATAGAAAATGTCCAAACTACATACAAGTAGAGTAAAAAGTATTTTTAAAAGTAGAGAAAAAAGTATATCCCCATGTGCCCATCGGCCAACTTCAACAATTATCAATATTTTGCCAATCTTGTTTCATCTATCCCCCCCTTTTCTATTATTTTTTGCTAGACTATTTTACAGCAAGTCCAACACGTTTCAATTTCTTTTCACCTTCTCATTTTAAAAATGTTTCCCACTGCTCCTTTTGCTGACCTGGGCAGCCAAGTTGATGAGAGAGGGGACATTGAGTCTAGCTTTCATAGTAACTCTGCCAAAGAGGTTTTCAAGAGTAGACTTTATGAAGAATGCGTTTTACACCTTTTTCAATAGCATCTGCTAATAATCATAAAAATAAAGAGGTTCCCCTCTGGTACTGCTTAAGTAGAAAGAATTCCATTTATTTTCCCAACGCAAACATTGTTACTGTTAATATTAAACTGCAGAGGCAGGCGCACAGTTGCCTATTGGAAGAGAAGCTCATTTCTTCCAGGACAAAATGCTCGCTCCGATGCCATCCTTGGCGCCCGTCAAAGCAGCGCCCCTCGGATGGGTCCTGCCTTTCGGGGAGACGGCCGAGCTCTGGGGTCTCTCGGGCGGGGCTGAGAGGTGCGGGCGGGGGGCGCCCCATCCTTACCTGTGAGGCTGTTTCGGTCCCCAGGGCGCTGCCCTGCTCGCGTCAAGGAGCCTCCGGGGCGGTCACCGGGGCTGGCCAGCGAGGGGCAG